GGATTCAGATATGACGGCTGATAGAGATGTATGGAAGAGCAGCACATACTGTGCCGACCCTCCATAAGGGATAAGGGCAAGTGGATGAATGTTAGATTTTAATTAATAACTCGGTATAGATTTAAGAATAACACCTTTATTTTAAGCAGTACAATAGTGAAAGAATAAAATAAGATAAAAATACAAAGATATTGAGTTACACAGATTAACACACGGAAATTGATTTTAGAACTATAGCAAATTTGTTTATTTTTCAACAGAACTCTTGTATAAAACGTATCTCATTTTTTTAATAAAAAGACAAAAAAAAATGATGTGTACTTGCCTAATTTAACTTCCATATTGTTGTTGGAGAGTGCCAGTAGCTTGCATACAAGTGTGCCAGCTACTAGCATATTTTAAACTAGCTGTTCCCGTGCGACTTCATCTGCATAAAATTATGAAAATATTGTTTTATTGTTTACATGTGTCCAATTATCAATTGCAAATGTCAAAATGACATGACATGATGACAAACCATGGCAATCTTGCTTCCTTAATTATTTAGTTTATGGTCCCTTTTCCACATGAAGGATTTTTCCAATTTATTTATCCCCCAAATTTAATACCGCAGAAATATATAGCCTAAAGCGTATCGTAAGCGGAGGGTTTTTTATTAAAGAAAGAATTATTCATAAATATGCTATGATTGCTGACATCCTATGTCACAAAGTAGTGTGTTTACGCTTTTTTATATTGGTATAGACGTAACGATAATTGTTTTTATAGATTACTGCATGGTGCAGTTCGTGAAGCCGAACCTGCTGGGAAAGTACAACGAGTACTTGAACCGCTTCGTGAACCCGATCACCAACGGACAGTACACCGACTCGACGGAGCACGACATCCGCATTATGAAGCGACGTTCACACGTTCTACATAAGATGCTTGATGGCGCTGTACAGGTAACACAATAACAATGACGAAACATGATGGATGTTTGTTAGAGATGTAAATAGTCTGGAAGAAGGGTCATAGGCTACTCACTGTGATCTCCCAATCCGGTAATAATAACGAAGTAACAGGCTCCTGAGGGAGCTCTCGAGCTTAGTTACTCATAAACGAGGTTTAGGCTAAGTGCCATCTGCGCTCCGCTACCTCAAGCCTGGTGAATCTGTAAATGCCTCTTCAAGGCAAACAGTGGCCATTCAGTCACAAAAAAAAACTACTCACTTTAATTTTTTATATTTCCACGTGGTCGAAGTCAGGACCGAAACCTAGTTATTAAATAAATATAGTATGATAACTATGATCATCACCATCATCACCATCATCACCAGCTCGCTATACGTTCCCATTGAGGGGCTCCTGGTTAGGAGTCTAATGGTTAGGAGAGTAATGTTCTAGTCACCCTAAATTAGGGTAGGTTTACCCTAAGTTAGGGTGACTAGAACATAGTCAACCACGCTGGCCCACTGCGGGTTGGTTTGACTTCACACATATCTTTGAATTTCTTCACCGATATGTGCAGATTGCATCACGATGTTTTCCTTCACCGTAGTCGAGTAAATTACTACATATGAAAATTTGAAAATCACATTGGTACATGGCGGGATTCGAACCCAAGACCTGTAGATTACAAGTCAAGTGCTTAACCCACTGAGCCACCATGTCTGTTGGATAACTATATGAGAATGTAATTATAGAGGCGGGACTACGGTGTGCTGGCGCCGTTTCTGCCGCCGAAGCACGAGTATGTGTTGTTCATCACGCTGTCCGAAGTGCAGATCAAATTGTACCAGCACTACCTCGATAACTACTCCAGAAGGTAAACAATTGTATTCTTTTTAAAAGTATAGTCAAATAAGGATATCGGGGCAGGTGAGGTTCTATCAGGAAATATTAATAAAATTTACATGGGCATAGAAAATGATCATAAAAGGGGAAAAAACATAATTTGACAGAAAAGTGAATCTTTTTGGACATTGGCAGGGGCGTGCTAGTTATCATAATTTAGATATCCTTGTCGGACTATGACATTATTATAAAACTTAAAAGTGTTACAATGCACCAAAATTCTTAATAATAAAATGTAAGTTTTCATGTGAATCTTTAGAAAAAAAAATGTATTTTTGGTGTTTAAGATTTTTATAGCATCCTAGCATTTCTTGATTGATTTTTATTTACAAAGACATTAAATGATCTTTTAATTTGTATTAACTCGTTTTCTTCAGACCTCTACCGGGGAAGTCTTCAGGATTCCTCTTCCCTGACTTCCAATCGCTGCAAAGGATATGGACTCATCCTTTAGTATTGAAATATAACTCTGAAAGATATGAAATTATGCAACAGAAAAAGGTATGATTTTTATACTAACTTTAAATAGTGGTCAAAAGTACTTTTTACTATTATGCTTTAGTTTCAAGTAGAATAAATACATGTTTTATATGATAAATATTCAGACAGACAAACAATTTTTAAATGCGATTTTCGTTATCAGCAACGCAAATACATCATCTTCCTGAAATCTGGATTTTTCTTTTGATATTACAAACAGACATTCCATTTTTATTATATGTAAAGATTTTTTTTCTGACTTTACTAATTTTACTGTTGCAACATCTGAAAATATTGTGATTTATCAAATCGAGTAACTTTTCGTATATTTTATTTATTTATGGGTAACTTTCAGCTAACATACAAGAAATAATAAAACAATCAAAAACTTAAGGCTAAATACAAGTTATCGCACATAGTCATAAATACAAATTATAATGAAATTTACTTCATAATTATCATAGTTCATACTTCATACTAATCATACTAATATTATAAATGCGAAAGTTTAGATGGATGGATGTTTGTTTGTTTGTTAGAGTTTGTAGCCCAAACGCCTGAACGAATTTCGATGAAATTTGGCATAGACGTAGAGGATAGTCTGGAAGAACACATAGGCTACTCTCTTTTCTTTTTTTAATACCACGCGAACGGAGTCGCGGGCGAAAGCTAGTATTTATATAAAAATAAATATTAAAACTTTCAGAGGGAGCGGGAGGAAGAGGAAGACTCAGAGGGATCTCTCGCTGACTTCATTGATGATGAATCTACGCCTGAAGTGAGTTTTTTTTGCTACTATCGAAATTATTTTGCTAATATTGTAAATGCTACAGACTAGATAAATTATGTAGTACCTTTCAGAGAAATTACTGGTAAAAAATTTGGTTCACTACTCCTAGTCTATATATTTTTTTAATGTCTTTGTTAGTAGGTATTTTGGTGTAATTTTGTATAGTATTTTACAAATAAATATTTTTTTTTCTTGTATCCTTAGGAAAGTTCAACGGCAGAATCTTCAGAGGAATATTCAGATGCGAGTGACGACAGCCATAAGAAGAATAAAAAGAAGAAAGCCGCTAAGAAAGGGAAAAATAAAGTGACCACGCGACGCGGCACCAGAGCTAATCCAAGTAATATTATCCTTTCATATAAATATAAAAAATTTCTTGCTTTTCAACTAAATACATAACTAAATTAACTAATATCAAAGGTATACAGAAAAAAATTAATCCTTGGTCCAGAATGACTCAGGAATAATAGAATTGATTACAAAAATTATGGTAATATAAATATGTATATCAAATTAAATTTGTTTATTTATACAGAAAAAGAAACCTTTACTATGCACTTTTTTTACTGACTAACATAATAACATAAAATAATGGCTTGTTGCCAATTTGGCAAGAGATTAATGTTTTCTTCTAACAGCGGAACATCTAGAAGAAGAAGAGAAGTCAGTGGAGCTGGTGGAGGAGAAGAACGAGAACCCGACGGAGTGGTGGGTGAAGCTGGTGGTAGACGAGGAGCTGGAGGACATGCGCAACTCGCACAAGCTGGTGCTGCTCTTTGATATACTGCGTCAGTGCGAGGCCATCGGGGATAAGCTGTGAGTAATCATTTGAATGTTTGAAACTTTTAACAAATATACACTATGGGTTATATCAAAAACTAGCTGTTCCCGTGCGGCTTCATCCACATAAAATTATGAAAATTTTATTTTATTGTTTACATTTGTCAAATTATCAATTGCAAATGTCAAAATGACACGACATGATGACAATCCATGGCAACATTGCTTCCTTAGCGTAAAAATATATAGTCTAAAGCGTGTCGTAAGTGCATTTTTTACTTAACGGTGCCTAACGATATTTTTATGCGTTATACAGAGTATTGCTAAAGGGATGCTGTTTTCAAACTGTTCTATTCAGTTAAGATAATTTCGATTCTTATATTATGTAAAAAACTTTGGTTATTGTTTATAGGTTGGTATTCTCACAATCTCTATATTCGTTGGACTTGATCGAGCATTTCCTAGCAAAAGTTGACGAGGCGACACAAGAGGGTCGTATAGATGAAAAACTTGGCGGCCATGTAGGTAAGATTATCCTGTTTATATCATTTTTATGGTAAAATGACAAATTCTACTTTTTATTATATATATTGACATATACCTTATGAAAAACTCTATTCCGGCAAAAGTTGTCTACTGGTAGTGGTCCTCTATGACTATTAAAATTTATGGGAAATGTATTTATTGACAGTTGAGTTGACCAATAGTGTGGGTTTTAGAACTAAGAGAGGGGATTTAAAAAAGAAACTTTTTAATGCTTAAATTTCGCCACTAAATCACATTATATTAAAAAAAATCTTTACAGGTATGTTTTTGTAGTAAGAAATTATATTTTAAAAAGTTTGGTACAATTTGGCGTCATATGCATTTTGCCTATTTTCCCTTCAATTATAGCCTTTCCTAATCCGGCTCGAAGGACCTGCTGTTTTGTAATGTAGAAAATTACTATATAATTTTAATGTTGTTCTTATGTTTTGTGTTTAATTTTCAGGTTCCTGGTCACCAGGCGTAGATTATTTTAGACTGGATGGGTCTATATCCTGCGAGAATAGATCTATATGGTGCAAGAACTTTAACAGGGAAGACAACCCTAGAGCTAGGTGAGTTATTGATACAGTTCGTTTGAATAAGGCAAACTTCATTTTATTAATATACTTGCTGGAATTTTGTCAGCGCAGAAATATAAAAAAAAACAGTAGTTGGCATTCTTCCAGACTACGTTCTACCATCTTTTCCAAATAATCGTGATTAATTTAGCCATTCAGGAGATATCCTAAATCTATCCATCCATCTAAATGTTATTACAATACTAATGGATGTATGTAGTAACATATCTTTAAAATGACTTAAAGGATTTAGATGAAATTTGTCACAAATGTAGAACATACTCTGGAAGAACACATAAGCTAGTTGCCACTTTTTAATACCACGCGGATGAAACTTTAAGCTATTAGTATGATACATTACCAAAATATTTTTTTAATGTCCGGTTCACACTTAGCCAATACAGTTGTGACGGTCACAAAGATCAAGTTATATTCACATTGTGTCAATTGATTGATACACCTTTATAGACATTACTGGCCAAATGTACTGGCCAAGTGTAAACCGGATGTCACACACATATAGCAAGTTAAAATATGTTTGAATCCAGATTGTTCCTGATCTCGACGCGCGCGGGCGGGCTGGGCATCAACCTGGTGGCGGCGAACCGCGTCGTCATCTTCGACGTGTCGTGGAACCCCTCGCACGACGTGCAGAGCATCTTCCGCGTCTACCGCTTCGGACAGAAGAAGCCCTGCTACGTCTACAGGTTCCTGGCCATGGTAACATATCTAATGTTATACTAGCTCTCGCCCGCGACCTCTTCCTAGTAAGCCTGTCTTATACCCGACTATTCTCTACATCTATAGCAAATTTCATCAACATCCATTCAGTTTAGGCTAACTATAACTAATATCCATCTAAATTTTTGCATTTATAGTGTTAGTAAAATCTGTAAGATTGAAAGAGACTGTGAATAAACACCAAAGTCATTCGTATCTACTAGAGACTTCATTAGATTTAAGAATAAACAAGCTCTTCTCATGTCTTCAACAATATGTATTCTTGATAATGAATAGTTTATTGTTCTAGAACATATTACTTTTTAAATAAATTAGAAAAGGTTGGTTGGACTGTGCGAAAAAGGGTATGGTTGATAAGGGAGTGACTTTAGATGTGACAGTTGTAGGGACAAGGACGTTGATGATATTTTATGTCATTATATGTCAAATATTGATATTGGCATTTTTGATTGTGTTATTTTTTTAACCGCCATACTTGAAGTTTAAACGTGTGGTATAATGAAATGCGCCGGTCCAGGGTACGATGGAGGAGAAGATCTACGAGCGTCAGGTGACGAAGCAGGCGATATCGAAGCGCGTGATCGACGAGCAGCAGATCGACCGGCACTACGCGGAGAACGACCTCGCGGAGCTGTACAAGTTCCTGCCGCGTCCGCCCGCGCCGCGCCCGCTGCCGCCGCTGCCCCGCGATCGACTGTTCGCGGAGCTGCTGCGCGAGCACGACGCACAGGTCTCACACACACGCGCACGCGTGCTCTCTTTCTCTCACACACGCTCTCTCCCTTCTCACACACACACACACACACACATACGCACACACGCACAGACGAACGCACATACACACAAACATGCACATAGGAAGTCTTATATTCATTACCGCTTATGTTAGAACAGAGGTCTGCTATGTGCGCCTCCAAAGTGAGTTTTTGACTTCAAGTAGTCTCTCACATTTCACAAGATCTCCTTGCGAAGTTTGTGTAATTTTGTCTGATTGGTATATTGTAGTGATTCGCTAAGCGTTTGACTTCCTCTGATTTTCGAAGCATCGTTCACGTTGAAGATTGTTTATGAGAGTGAAGTTTAGTTCCATTTAGTGTACTACTTGTTTAGTGTACTAAAAGTGAACTGAACAAACAGATTTCATTCTCATTTTAAAAAAAATAATTGTAATGTTTATATTTGGTATTTTGACTAATAAGTTTGCTAAACTTTACAGCAAATAAATCCACAAAAAATAATTTAGGACACACGTATGACATTCCAATTTCATTAGATTATGAGCGTCAAATGACACCTCTGTTAAGTAGAAATATACATGTTCAAGTGTCGATATAATAATATAGTATGTTTGTAGATATACAAGTACCACGAGCACGACTCTTTGCTGGAGAACAAGGAGGAGGAGACGCTGAGCGAGGAGGAGCGCAAGGCGGCCTGGGAGGACTTCGAGAACGAGAAGAACCGCCCGCCGCCCGCGCCCTTCCCCGCGCCCTGGCCCATGCACAACGGAATGAGTCAGTACACCACCCCTTTTACAATCATTAGGATTTATCTATACTAATATAATAAAGCGTAAACACACACTACTTTGTGGCGTAAGATCTCAGCAATCACAGCATTTATTTGAATAATTCTTTTTTAAATAAATAACCCTACACTTATGTCACGCTTTAGGCTATATATTTCCACGCCATTTAACTTAGAGGGTTAAAATTTTGGATGAAAACCCTAATGTGGGAAAGAGATAAGTTGCTGCCAACATCAAGGAAGCAAGGTTGACATCGTGTCATGTAATTTTGACATTTACAATTGAATTTGACAAATGTGATCAATAAAACAAATTTCATAATTTCATGCGAATGAAGTCGCACGGGAACAGCTAGTTTTTAATATATCTTCATAAACTTGTCCTTATCACACACATGGTACAGTATGTACTGTTCTTCCGTACATCTCTATCAGCCGTCACCTTTGAATCTATATCCTTCTTAAGCATATCCCCGTTCACACAATACACAGTAACGGACATCCATACAAACTATTACCTTTTTTTTTCAAATGTTAATTCAATTTTTGTAGTTTATATGTCTTTTTTTATATTTTTCGATTCTCTGCCAGCTGCTATTTAATATTACTGGAAATACAGAAATCATACGATAAATGTCGTTCCAGCTTTTTGTGAATAAAACTGGACAGAATTTTTTATTAAAAGCTTTGTAAGTTTGTTATATTTATTGCAATCGAATAATTAATGTTTTTTAGTATTTGTATATTTTATATGATCAGCAACAAGTAACGTTATATTTGTTAATATTTAAATAACTATGTTTTCCAGTGCCTGGCTTACTGGCGCAGCAGCAGCTGGCATACGCGGCGCTGGACGCCATGCTACGCAAGGACAACGTCAGCGAGAGCCGGATACAGGAGTTAAATTCACTGATGTGCGCAAACCCCGGCGTGAGTATATCACACTACATGTTGCTCGCGACTTCACCTGCGTCAAATAAAATATATATAAAATATAGCCTGTGTTACTCACAGATAAATTACCTTTCTAACGCTGAAAGAATTTTTAATATCGGGTCAGTAGTTTTTGAGTTATTTCAATATATACAAAAATCCAAAAATACAAATTTTAACTCTTTGTAATATTAGTATAGATATACAGTTAAATATTAATAAGAAACACACTAAAACAATTTATTTAAGGCCCTTCGTACATAAACGTATTATATTGCCCTTTTTCTTCCCATCCTTTTCTTGTAAGGGGAATTGGTTTTGATGGAATATGCATAGGAAAGGAAAATGCACTCTTTTAAACGGCCTCCGTTTATTAAACGTAGCCAGCCCATATGCATTTTCTATTAGCAATAGTCGCTTCGCTATTTTAGCGAAGTCAGTGACCACTTCCTTATTATCTTATGATATAAAAAATCTAATATCCATGCGTTAGAGTATCGCGTAACTTATACTCAACTCATATGAATGTACAGATTACAGAAATGTATTTACAAAATTAAAATTGTATGGATTTGTTCCTCTATTTTGAACTTTTGAAGAAACCTGACTTGTCACGGCGCCTTGATAAATAAATCTATGGATTATATTGTATGAGTCGCCTAGTAACAAAAATCGCCAGTTTCAAACACTCGCTGTTCCTATGCGACTTCATCCGCATAAAATTATAAAAAAATCATTTTATTGTTTACATTTGTCAAAATATCAATTGCAAATGTCAAATGACAAATGACATGATGTCAACCTTGATTCCTTGATGTTGACAGCAACTTATGGTCTCTTTCCCACATTAGGGTTTTAATTTAAGGTTTCTAAGAATAATTGCTTGAAAACATATAGTCCAAAGCGTAACGCAAGTGAAGGACTTTTTATTAAAAGAAGAGTTATTCAAAAATATGCTGTAATAGCTGACAACTTAGGCAACAAAGTGTGTGTTTACGCTTTATTATAATAGTATAGCTGTTCCCGTGCGACTTCATCCGCATAAAATTATGAATATTTTATTTTATTGTTTACATGTGTCAAATTATCAATTGCAAATGTCGAAATGACATGACGATGACAAACCATGGCAACCTTGCTTCCTTGATGTTGGCAGCGACTTATGGTCTCTTTCCCAGGGTTTTTGTCCAAAATATTTACTCTTTAAGTTTAATAGCGTGAAAATATATAGCCTAAAGCGTACCGGAAGTGTAGTACTTTTTATTAAAAGAAGAGTTATTCAAAAATATGCTGTAATTGCTGACATCTTAGGCAACAAAGAAGTGTGTGTTTACACTTTATTATAATAGTATAGATTTACACGTGTACGAAGGGCCTAAAGTTTACCAACTTTTATCATTACTATAGTGGATAATTGATTTGTTAGACATAATATTAGATGTAGTAAATTTTATTCTGAAATTCATAAAATATTTATTTGTTCAGATGTTCGGTGGATATGATTATGGCGTAAGTTTCAGTCGATGTTTGTGCTGTCCCTTTGCTTAGCGCCAACATATTTTTTTATGCATGTCTGGTAGTGTCCTAATAGTTTTTACTCCAATATTGTTTTTGTCTATAGTGTAGTATTATTTATTTCTTACCAAAACCGGTTTATCTGGTTAAATATTGTATTATAATTTTGTCGTCTGTTATAACCAAGAACCAATTAAATATAAAACAAAGTTATCGATTTTTTTTAATGTAGTCATTTTTATTTGCTGAATGTGGATTGTTTGTTTTTTTTTTACGTGATTAACGTTTTAATGGTGCATTCCAGTTGATGCAGAAAATGAGTGAACTATACAAGTACGCTCCCCCCGGTATGATGAATCCAGGAATGATGAACCCAGTTATGAATCCAGGTGAGTTAAAAATACGACATATACTATAAGTAAATAGAAATGTACTATTGAAAGAAACAAAGATAGAACCATTATAGCATTTATAAAAACTTAAAACGATTTACATAGTACATAGTACATAGTATACCCTAGGACACTTTTTTTTCAAATGTCATCTGTGGGCTATGTGGAGAGAGAGAATCCCGCCATATACACAATCAGAGAGTCTAGTGGTGTTTCACTTTAAACGCTAAAGAATATAATGTGCTAGCTTATGTCCGAGACTCCGTCCGCGTGAAAATTAAAAAAAAAGTGAGCATATTATGCATATTTGTTCCAGACTTTCGTTTCCGTCTATGCCAAATTTCATCGAGATCTGTTCAGCTGTTTAGGCTACAAACTGAACAAACATCCATCTAAGCTTTTGAATTTGTTATATTAGTAAAATTATGGCAAAATCACCCCTAACTCAACGTAGGCACAGTGGGAATCTTATAGTGAGCTGATGATTATTATCTAACTAGCTGTTCCCGTGCGACTTCATCCGCATGAAATTATGAAAATATTATTTTAAAGTTTACATTTGTCAAATTATCAATTACAAATGTCAAAATGACATGACATGATGACATCCTTGCTTCCTTGATATTGGCAAAAACTTATGGTCTCTTTCCCATATTAAGGTTTTTATCCAAAATATTTACCCCCTAAGTTAATGGCGATAAAATATTTAGCCTAAAGCGTGATGTAAGTGTAGGGCTTTTTATTAAAAAAAGAATTATTCAAATATATGCTGTGATTGCTGAGATCTTACGCCACAAAGAAATGTGCGTTTACGCTTTATTATAATAGTATAGAATATTAAGAGTTATATTGATGTTTGTTGCGTGTTGCAGGCGGAGCGGGCGCGGGCGCGGGGGCGGGCGCGGGCGCGCTGGGCGGCTCCAGCGGGCTGCAGTACGAGCCGCCGTGGCTGCGGCAGCAGAAGCAGCAGCAGATGCGGCTGCAGCAGATGGTGCAGCAGCAGGGCGTCAGTAGTCAACATATTACACATTGACCTCTTAACCTTTAATAATAATAACGATATAACCATCCCCCATGACGAGAATCTCGTGAATGCCGAAACAGAGAAGAAAAGGTAAAATATAAATTATACCTTTTCTTCTCTACGTTTATT